CAACCAAGTTGTTATTTTTAATTATTTTCAGAAAAGACAAATGTACTAAACCATTCTCTATATTCATAAGATGGGAATGTTTGCAAGCACAAAGCATTACACAAAGCATTTACTATCTTGCCTTAGCCTGCAATTTGTGCCAGTTCACTACAGTAGTAATATAAACACTGAATTATGAGGCTAGAATGCAATGGCCATAAAAATAATTACAGGTTATTACTTAATGGAGGCACCTTATACTCTCTCTTATCTGGATCAAAGCATTTTATAATAAGGCCAGGCCACACATGAGGTCTAAAGACAAACATATTCTGTCAAAGTATTTTTTTTTTCACATTGGTAAATGATCTCTGCCTACATATAATCAATTGAAAACAGACTACATATGTACTGTGGATTGTATTCACCTATTTTTCCATATATATTAATGCAACCTGTTAATGGATATTTTTATTCTGATATAGCTATTATTCCCCAACACATAAAGAACAGCAAAATGAAATTTAACCTTTTCCTAGTGTTATAGTGGATAACAGCATAGCATAACATAGCATTAAACAGAACAAGGACTATTTTTCTGATTTTCTATTATGCTCAAATTGGCTAGGAATTTACTTAAAAAACACAGAGATCATTTTGTTCCCTAGTAACTAGGGGTTACAGCCTTAATATCACAAGTATCCACCAGGAAAGTCAAATATTCCCAATATAAAGTCTCTTGAATTTTTCTTTATACTAGACATTCTTTTTAAAAGATAATTTTGTGTTCAGTACAGGTAGCTGCTCTAGATTAGCAGGAAGGAATCTCTTCCAAAGTAGAAACCAGTATTTTCAAGGAAACTCTGAAAGGTTGGGGTACTTCCATAATACACTAAAGGACTCCATCATGCCCTGCTCCTTCTATCAACTTTATTCCCTAGATGAGGAAATTCTGCAAAACTAATGTCTTTGGGTACTTGGAACCACAGCTCAGTGAAAAAGCACATACTGACATATGGTAAGTCTTAAGGTTTAGTCCCAGGCATCTCCATCTATAGCAGGGGTCTCAAACTCAACTTACCTGGGGGCCGCTGGAAGTAGAGTCTGGGTGAGGCTGGGCCGCATCAAGCAGTGGTGGTGGGCTGCTCATCCCGCGTCGCTCCCGGAGGCCGGCCCGGGCGCTGCCAGCGCTTTGAAGGCCGCAGGGCCCCTTCCCCGTGCCCCGCCCGTCCCGGCAATTGGCCCGTGGGCCGCAAGTTTGAGACCCCTGATCTATAGGATACTGAAGAGCACCACTGGGAAAGACTTTCACCCAAGATCTTGGAAAGCAGCTGTTAATTCCTTGTTCTCTGGCCTCATACATGATTCAGAATTTTTTCTAAGGCCTTAAGCCATGATGCCCTATCGCCTCTGGCTACTTTAGCATCTAGACAAAGCAGTCTTGAGTGGTTCACTCACCAGCTAAGAAACACTACTAGGAAAATAGCAGCTGGATGATTATATGATCATAAGCAGAGAAGCTGAATGCAGGTGAAGCACTTCAAGCATCAAGACAAAGAGTCAGTCCCATTCCTGAATCCTTGCAAATGCCCAGGAGATGTAAGTAAGAATTGGACCAACAATGCTTGCTGGGAGATTAATTACTCTGCAAAAGCAGAGTAATTAACCTATCCTGACTTGCCTCCCAAATATGCAGATGAGATATCTGACAGACACACACGGGATACAGAATCTCTACAATGTTTCTCCTTTATGGATGTAAGGGCTTAAAGTAATAAAGATAATTGCAGAATACGATAATTGCAGAAGCATTATCATCTACCCTATGCCAAAGATGGGTTGGATGCCACAATATACAGGACTTAAAGGTTTTAGGAGCTGATCCAAACCAGCTAACACCAACATTCAGATTTGAACTTGCCATAAACAATACTGAACTAGCAAGCCCAAAGTTCTTTGGCAATACTGTTGTGATACATTAATGTGGCATCTCTTAAAATTCTCAATTTATAGAAACCCCAGTTAATAGTTACAGTAAATTGAACAGTAAATGGAGTATTCAATTTCAGGCAGAAAAATAACTTAACATTTTATTGGACTTCTGGACATTCATTTCAAACAGTCATAAAAGCATAACTTATTTGATAAGACTATATATATTCCTTTGAGTTAGAAAGAGACAGCATGGTTCCGGTCACAGTTTTGGTAGTTCTTATTTTATGAGAAGTCAGAAAAAAATTAGCAGGAAATGGGCATTTAATTTGCAAAGTTCAGCACACTGTTGGATCCTTAGAAATGTTAAAGGAACATTGCAGTAAAAACTTCCTCCATGAGCCTGTATCAAGTTCTTTTCTGACTGTAAAACCATCCAAAGTTAGTACCTATAACACCAAGGCAATGACGGCAACAGGAGCCATGCACCTGCAGAACATGTCTTCACTGCGTTCTTACAAGCTTGGCATCATCGCTTTGCATGACTATAACACAAAATTTCATTGTGAAAACACCACTCCTGCACACATTATTCAATCGGTAACATACTTAGTGTGCAATCACAATTTCAACACATACGATTCATTGGAATGTGAAGAATTGTTTTGACTACAGTACTTATGACTTAATTCCTTCAATCTGAAGGTAATTAGAAACACTTTAACTGTATGATTCTATATATTCTTTTCTCCGAAGTGCCATTGAATTCAGTTCGGCTCACTCCTGGGTAAGTGTGTAGAAGACTGCAGGCTAGGGGTTCAAGACCATAAAATAGCACAGTTTAGGGTTAGTATCTTAGTATCTCTTCTGCCTTTCAATAATCTAAATGATAGGTCCTAAAATATATGTTGGATAACATTTGCATCTTTGCATTTGTGTTTCAATAATCCAATAATCCAACTATTATTTCAATAACCTTTTAATAATGCATCTATTTCTATCACTTAGTATCTACATAAGAAACTCAATGAAGGTTTTAGAACTTAATTAATACCAGACGTGCAAGGATAAGAAAGCAAGTAGTCTTCCAAGAGTGACCCAATATATGATGAACCTTCACTTGTTCTACCTCAAGTCCTATATATCCCTCATTTCTTACAGGATAAAAATTTACCCTTACAGGATAAAATTCTTGCTGTCTATCAAAACTTCCAAGTGATTACAAAATCCATCAAAAGCATTCTGCAGATCAGTCTGACAAAAATGGTTAATGACAAATGGTTATGTGGCTGTATCTTCCTATGTCAATATTCTGGGCGCAAACTGAATATGGCATTTTATTTGCACTTCAATAATCAGTTGTATTCCTGGTTTTGAAGAACCACATTCCACAACTGGAAACTTGACAGGCTCCTCACCAGTAGAAGCCCAGAAGAGCCCTCTTCAAAGAATAATTTGGAGTCCTTAGCAAAGCTCATTGCCAGAGAAGACATAGTGCAAACTCAAGAATACAGTTGTAGGAATGCCTTCCCTGAGGTCCCAAGCAGCCCCTTCAATCCCATCCTGAGCCTAGCTGTGGTTTCTGACTCCATTCCCTTGTTGCATGTTCCTCAGGAGAACCAGTGCTCACAACCAAGGTAGAAATTATCAAAGCACTCATTCAATCAGAATATTCCTTTGTCTGGGGTTTATTCAGGTGCAAGACCACCCAGTTGCAGCCAATGAAGGTGGAGGTTGAGATACAACTAGTACATCAGAGACAACAGGTATATTAGCTCTTGGTATTTCCTAGATCATTGCTGGGATAACAACTCACACTGAGCTTTCTACTCTCGTTACTTTGCTCAGGAGAAGCCTAAACAGAGATGAATTGCATATTTTTAATATGTTCAACCTTGCTTCCTCCCTTTTCATTAGTTTTTAACAATTATTCATTATTACTGCATTTAAATAGCAAGAGCTCTTTGGGTGATCCACCAAATACACAGTATTAAAATACAATAAAAATACTAAAAACAATTAATATTAAACACACAGTTAAAGCACAGAATTTCAGACTAAGAAGTCCAGATGAAAAAGTACATTTAAAAACCTGGATGAATCAAAGGGTCTTCATTTGGCACTGAAAATAGCATAAAGATGATGCCAGAACAGCCATTCTTGGAAGGCTGTTGCGTAACTGGAATGCTACCACTTACAAGACCCTTTTCCTAGTGGTAACTCACCTCCCCTCATTTGGCAGTGCATTCAGAAGAACAAGACATATGAAGGTTTGAAGTGTCCAGATGGGTACTTCAGCTTATTTATTAAACCTATATACCACCCAACTATAAGATGCCCTTGGGATGTTTTACAATCATCAAACACTCACCAAAATCCAAAACATATGGGAGAAGCCTACATTTTCTGTTCCCTCATTTTAAGCTCAACTCTCCCTCTGCATGAATGCCAAACGGTTTGATAATTATCTGAATTATGTATATTTTCCCTTTTTTTGTTTCCTTAAGAATACATAGAAAGAGGGAACAGATACAATTTCCTTGGCTCTTATTCAGTAGCTTTAGCAACTATAAGAAAGTTCTTGTGTGCACCTCCTCCTCAGTTGGCTTGTTGACTCAGTGACAAAATTTCAAAGGCTTAACTAGACTCTTCTGATTTTTAAGTCTTTTCAGATATTAAATGTCATGTTGAAAACTATTGAAGGCCTGTTTGTAAATTTAGAAAGAGTGTAGTCACATGCTGGTAATTAATTTCATTTCTTGCAAGGGAAGGTGTGCCAAAACAGAGAGCAGAGACAAGAAGATGATACAGAGTTGCATATAGACTGAATGTTAAAGTGAGTCTGAAGGTAGTCGTTAATCGTGTAAGAATCCTATTAAATAATCGGTCTTACTGGTATTCAAAACCATTCCAGTAGTAGTTTTCCTATTCACAAATTAACTAAGTATGGTAAAATAATAACCATTTTCACTGGGAAGTTTCTACACTTATACCTGGGAAAATTAGTCAGTAACTGAGCACTGAAAACTTTCAATTAAGATTCTTCTACAGCATAAGCTAGGTATGTTTAAAGTAGCAGTTTACTTTACCTTGAGGAGGTAAGTGGGGATGTTGCTGAAGTCCACTGGCAACTTCAGAAGAAAACGAGCTGAAAATTCACCAGTCTGTTAATAAAGAAAAAATATGCTAAATAACAGCATTGTGCAAGACAAAAACAAAAAAACAATGAACTTACAACAAACCTCTTAGAAATTCATTGTTTAATAGAACGCCTTCCAAATAATGTGGAGAGCTCTTTCCAGTAACGACCAAAACTGAGTAAATATTTATAGGTTAACAGGTAGCTAACAAAAATCTGATACTATTATAAGGGAAGCATCTACACAGAAAAGATGTTCCGTATAAAGTAATAGAATCAAAAACCTAAAGTAGACTATGCTAGAACTTCTACTTTATTTATTTATTTATTTAAAATATTTATATCCCATCCTATATGAAACAAGTCCCAGGACGGCTTACAAAAACTATTACAATAACAACAACAAATTGATCGTTGCAAAGAACACAGTAACCTGATTTGCAATATTTCCATCTAACAGATACCCATGAACACTTGAAACTCAAGAAGTGGTGCTTACTAAAAGGCACATTAGCACTCAGTTGCTCAGTGATTTACTTAGATTAGTATTATTTAAGCACCCCTTCATAGTAAACATTGTGGCTATATGTTCCCCACATGTGAAAGACTTCTGCATCAGTTTCTAATGTTACTGCGGTACTAGAGCTCCTGCTACAAAAACTTTCTTGTGAATTGCTGGATCTTAACTCACAGTCATAGTACATACACATCACACTGCAACTCCATGCTGCAGCAAAAATATCTGTTTGCACTGGCTCTTAAAAAAAATTCAGAAAGGTTATAGTATTCATACAAAAGAGCAGGGGAGTTCTTGTACTAATTATTAGTGATGTCATAGATATCACTGTCCATATTCATGCATCCCTCTTCCAGATAGTAGTACATCACAAAACAAAAAACAACTGGAAAAAAGAACACATTTCAAAATGGAAGTGTGAGTTGTCAGATTTAATATATATTTAAATGGAAAAATGTCAAAGAAGTTCAACACAGCCATATCTCACTTCAAAGAAGGAAATGTCTTTAAAATGAAGGAACTGATAAAAACGGAAATTGAAAAAGGAAGTCAAGATGGTTCAGTCTCTCAAAATGCTTACAGGTTACTCCACCTTACAATAAAAGAAGCTCATCTGGAATGTGTACCACAGGATAAGAAAGTAGTATGTAGTCAGCAAGTCACCAACTAGCTTAATGAGCACAGTCAACAAAGCTAATAGAGAAAAGGTTTCCTTCAGAATATGGAATCTTGCCCAAGTGAGGAAAGCAAAAGGGACATCATCTTGCACAACCAAGAAACAAATAGGCAATAAAGCATTTTTGAGAAGCATACTGCTAAAAACATCAAGGCCAACAATAATGAATTATTTAATATATCAGAATCAGGAAACCAGCTAGATGACAGTGGAGCTAAGGAGTGCTAAAAGAGGATAGGAAGAGTGCAGAGAAGCTGAACAAATTCTTCCCATCAGTCTACACCAGGGGTCTCAAACTCGCGGCCCGCGGGCCAATTGCCGGGCTGGGCGGGGCACGGGGGAGGGGGAGGCGCCCTGCGGCCTTCAAAGCGCCAGCGGTGCCCGGGCCGGCCGCGGGATGAGCGGCCCACCACCACCGCGGTGGTGGAATACTTGATGATGTGGCCCAGCCTCACCCAGACTCTACTTCCAGCGGCCCCCAGGTCAGTTGAGTTTGAGAGCCCTGGTCTACACAGTGTAAGACACAGGATCAATGCCTGTGCCTAAACTGAACTGAGGTAAATACAGGTAACAAAAGGTAAAGTTTTCTACTTTATTTATAAATTGAAAATTAATCTTTTCCCTAAGGGACAATTTACAAATTGAACCAGAGGATGAGAGAACATTAAACTTATTTTTTAAAGAGGAACCAGGAAATTTTCAGGTAAGTTAGCTTGATGTCTGTTTTGTGTAAACTGGATGAAAACTTTATCCAATGATTAAAGATAAAATTACTAAGCATACAAAAGGACAAGTCCTACTGACAAAAAATCAACATGGCTTCTGAAAATGTCCTGTCTCACTCACCTTTCAAAGTACTTTGATAATGTCAAGAAAGTTGTGAACAGATATTATTCACCTGGACTTCCAAGAGGCTTTTGACAAACCCTCACAAAAACTCCTGTGCAAATGCTCAGTCATGGAATAAGAGAAAGGTCCTCTTATACATTACCAACTGCTTAAAGAAAAGAAGAATGGGAATAACTGGTGGATTCCCCCCATGCAGAGAACAATGCTTTTCAACTGGTTCATAAATTTTCTGGAATTCAAAGTGAGCAGTGAAGTAGCCATGTTGGCTGATGAGATCAAATTATTAAGCTGGTTTAAAATGATGCAAATATGCAGAGCTTTAAAAGATCTCTCTGAATGTAAAAAAACAAGAACAGCCATATTGGATCAGACTAATGGTCCATCCAGTCCAGAACTCTGTTCATGTGGTGGCAAATCAGCTGCTGATGAAATCCCTCAAGCTACCTCCTAACAAGCTCTTCAGCAACTAGTTGTACCCAGGCATGTTGCCTCTGATAACAGAGGCAGCATACAGTGAACAAGACTAGTGGCTGCTGGGCAAATGAACATCAAAATGGAAAATGAGGCTGAGCTTAAACAAGTGTAAAGTGATGCACATGGGGCAAAACATGTGCCAATTTTAAGAATAAACTGGTAACAGCAGACCTGGCAGCAAATGACTGAGACAGAGAGAAAAAGAGAGGAGGGAGGGATCTTAGGATTGTGGTGAGAAGCTTGATGAAAATGTTGACCTATTGTGTAGCTGGTGTGAAAAAGGTAAACTCCATGTTAGCATAATTGGGATTGAAATTTAAAATAAAACAGCTACTACCACTCTGTCCTTATACAAATCTAAGGTGTGGCCATATTTAGAATACATGCCTACAGTTCTGGTCCCTGCACATAAAAATGATATACAGTTGGAAGAAAAACTAGAAAAAAGGAAACTAAAATCACATATGCAGAAAAGCCTCAACTGAAGCCCCCTCTTCCACAACCAAGGATCTGCATGTAACTAATAGCCAACCATCCTATCAGCTTAGGAAATATCAAAGTTTTATAATGTTTGGGTGGCTACTGTATACAGCCAGAACAGCCAATTCCATCAGTTGCTTAACATGAATGGCTTAACTTGAATAAAAACAACAATTCTGCATTTCATCACATTCCATACATCTAAAGGAGACAAACACATTCTTATATAATGCTTTCCAGAAGTTTTTTTTAATATAAATATTGGGTTGGATCTGAACTTACTCTCCCATGGAAAGAAGGGAATCTTCCTTCATGGATTTGAACCATTTCAACATATCTTGACCCACTTAAGATGATTTCCAGGGCACACAGGGAGATCTCAGTGAAACATGTCACCTTCCCCTTATTCCAGCACAAGAATGCAATCAATAGAACTCAGCCCATGTGTCATATGGATTCTAGCCACTCACTATGGTATCAACAAATACAACATGGGGCAAAAAGGTGTCTGTGATTCTGATCAGGAATACAATCAAAGACTACTACTTCGACTAAAGACTAAATACTCAGCTTCAGATTCCACTTTGAGTGGAGGCAGCACTTCCATACAGTGGTACCTTGGCTCAGGAACACCTCAGTTCACAACCAAATCAGGTCGTGAACAAAAATTTCATAAAATGTTTGACTCAGGTTGCGAACTCCACATTGAGTGGCGATCACGATCACGGCCATCTCCCCCCCACCAAGTGGGGAGATGGCCATGATCGTGCTGGGGTGTGGGGGAGATGGCCGCAATTGCGCCTGTCTTTCCTGCACAAGCGTGCCCATGATTGTGCCCATCTTTCCTGCAGAATAATGAAGGTAAATTAAGGCCAAATCGATTAATTTAAGAGCCACACACATTTTCCAAAGTAATACCTACACTTACTATGGGGAAGAAATCTCAAGAAGGGTTGCGTTATTTTGCTAGCACACTTACCCAGTTGTTCTTTTTGCCAGCGTAAATTTCCATGTTCTCTCCATATTGAGGTTCTTCAAGTAATGTTTGATATTCAAACATGAGGCGAGAGCTCTCACGTAATCTGCTGCACTGGAACTGATGATACTGTTGCACAAGTTCTTTTACCACAAGCAGGAGGCATTCTGGGTTCGAGGGGTTCCATGATGCCAGGTTCTGTGCAATGAAAAAATAAAGACCAAGTTAACCTACCAATACAAGATAGGAGTAATGTATAAGTGGAGGGATGTGACTGCTTTTTCACAGTCACAACCTTGTGCCAAGATCAACTTCACTGCATTTGTTCAGAGGGCTAAGTGATCAGTCCCATAACTACTCAAACTTCATCAGGGCCCTTGGTGGCCCCCCAACACAAAGGCCCCTTTGATAGGACTATCCTCCCATGATGCCCCCCCCACCCCCACAAACACAGTGGTATCAGCATTTTCCTTCTTCATGGTGGCAGACTGGCAGAGTAAGAAAAAAAATGAGACTCGTTAGCAAAGACTTGCTGCTATCACCCACCATTTTAACTCCCCACAATATAGCTGGATACATAGAGCCACTCCAGACTGATTCTATGTGGGAGCACCTGAGGCACTGCAAGGGAATTAAAGTGGGAGTGCCAGCTATTGATGAGAGGAGCCTCATACTAGGTCAACGGGAAATAAGGAGTGAGTCCACCGTAGAGTTTGAGCCACTGGCAACACTACCAATTTTATATGATGGATGATCAGTACAAAAAGGCAAGAGAGAGTAGGAAGTCATTTTATTTCTGAAGAAGGACAAGTATTCCGCAGTTTGGGAGTGAGAAAGCCCTTTTACATAGAGAAATTATGTGTTCTGGATATGGTTGCACTCCTGCTAAAGGAGCAGTACATACTCCAGGGATGCTCCTGGCTCCTTCTTTGTCAGTGTAAGAGCCTTCATAGAAAAGAGCACCTTTTCCCATTTCCATCTGGTATGCCAGCTGCAGCCATGCCTGATGTGAGTTACAGCAACCTCAACCAATAAATTCTTGATTTAAGCATTCTGACTTTGAAATCTCCTCCCAGCTGAGATACAGGTGGTGCCAAGTCTTTTGAACTTTTGGTGCTAAGTGAAGACCTATTCATTCACCCAAGCTTTGCACTGAATCTGTGTCACTGTGCTTTATTTGTAATTGATTTTTGTATATTTTATTGGCCTATTTGATAGTCTCATTGTCTTCTCTCAGTATCATATTCTAAACACATGCATAATTATTCTGTTACAATGAACACACAGAGAGAATACATTTCAGTTACATATGAGGTAAGGGAGGTGCATGACACTTTAAGATTCATGACCCTGCCACAACAACTGCTAATTAAGCACTATGTCTATTTACTAATAGCTTATAGTAGTCAGCTTATGAGAAAGTATTGCCACCAATTCCAGTTTATCTGATCTAGTTGTTTAAAGTACACAATGTGTTCTGTAAGAAATAAATTTTGCATCACAAGGTCAGAAGTCAAGCAAGCGAGCTCTGCACAGCTTCCATTTCCTTTTTTCCAAGGTTTTAGGCAAACACCCTTTCCAGAAAGTTGAAGAATATAATGAGCCAGTATGAGCTGACATGACCTCCAAGGGGAATATTTACTCTCTCCTACATTTTTCTATTGTATTACATCACCAGTATTGTGTTAAAGAAAACAAGCAACATTTTGGTAATCGTCATATACTGGAGACGAGTAATTCCCCCACATCAGCTCCAGAGAGTTAGAGAATTACTGCTGCTGTCCCTACTGCCAACACACACACTTTTATAAGAACAGAAAGAAAAACTGAAAGAAGCTGCCCTTTGTTCTGATCAGATGTTACGGTGGCTTGTGAACAAGCTGAACAATATTTATCAGAACAACAGAGCTTTTTTAAAGTAACTTCACCCGTACGAATCAATTTCTGAAATAAAAAGCATCCCACAACAGCAACTGCACTCCAAAGCCAACTATATATATTTAAAATATAAACTTGTAGTGGAAGAGTCACTTGGGAGGATAAACAAAAATGAAAATGGATTATCCATTTTAATATGTTTGCCCTGCATTAACAGTTTCTAAAATAATTCAGCAGATTAAACCTACACAATCATTTTTCCTCCAAGGAATATCTTCCTTTATTTTAAGCCAAACTTAAATAGTTCAAAAATGTTAGTGATTGCAACTAGTTATCTTTAAAAATGACCTGCTTTAAACTGAACTTAATACCACCATTTTAAAGCTTACACATACAATTATAACATTAAAGGCTAGAATGTTTTGTGTAATTGGCCATCAAGCATGATCTTACATGTGTACAAACAGAACAAGGCCAAAACCCCATTAATTTTATGACTGCCTCCCCTAGTCCAAAATTCTGAAGTACAAAAAACCCATGGGCTACATATGACTAAAGGATTTGCTTATGCTTCTTGTATAAAGGTTCTTTACTTTTGCAAAGCAATTGGTTTTAATTGCTGTAGCAGTCAACTAGTATCCAAGTTGGATCAGTAAATCCAAGAGTTAAATCAATTGTTTAATTAGCTTTTATTTGAATGAAACCACCCTGTTCTTAACATTTAGAATAATTAGCTCAACAAGAGAAAAATTGTGATCAGCTATATAACAGAAAGTTAAGGAAAAAAATAGCATATAGCAAAAAGACCTGTTGCAGGAGTTTGAACTCTACCCATTTCAAGCAACCAAGATAAGATACATTTTGACCCTGATTCAAAAGAATAATGTATATCAGAAGTCAGTGGTGGCGAATCTATGGAACGCGTGCTGTAGTGGGCACACAGAACCCTCTCTGTTGGAACGTGAGCAAAGTTGCCCCAGCATTGCCCCAGCAGCTGAGCATCGGATAACAACGCACATAGGGGCTATGCACACGCTCGGAAAGGAGTAGCAGTGCCAGGTGATGATGTCACGAGCTGCGACTCATTAGCCACAACTCGTCCGAACTCTTGCACAGCTGGTCAATGCACTGCCAAGGATAGACAGATAGATATTTGCTTGGACTGGCCGTGAGTTGTTTTTTCTAAACTAAAACCTCAGTAGTCAGGTTTTATTGCAGTATTGGCACTTTGCGATAAATACATGGGTTTTGGGTTGCAGTTCAGGCACTCGGTCTCTAAAAGGTTTGTCATCACGGTCGGAAGCACCTCTGCAAGTACATGAGGGCAGGAAGTTGGACTACCAAGTTTTGTTGTCTTACAGTATCCCACCAACCAATCTCAAAGCTTGTTCTGGAGGATCTCCCAGCCTTCAGGACTGGCATTTTAGGGGAGCAGTGAGAGTTTCAGTGTACTTGCAACGTTGCCTGCAAAGCCCCTTGGATCCTAGCAATTATGTTTTTGACTAACTCATTTTTGTACCATACTTAATATGAATAATATTATAGGATCAGCAGCAAAACATCTCACTGGACGTGTCTTTTATGCACATGTTCAGTCTTTCTTGGTTTTCATTAACCTTTTTTTTTGTGGGGGGGATGGCAACTGGGCATGCAAAATTCACCCTGCTATATCAGGGCTAAGAGAAGCACACACTTTCCTCACTCTATTCACATTAACACACCCTTACAATAATATTCTCAATTACTTACATTATTGTTCTGAAGCAAGAACAAACACTAAGGTACAAAGTTGTGCCAATGCCATTATCCCACCGGGATGAATAAACATTGATACTAAGGCTAGGTTAATAGAGCAACAAGATCTTCAGCACAAGTACAGTGTATATGATTGTGCAGCACTACAGAAATAGAAAGATACACTGGCAGATGACTGCCTTCTTTCCTGGCACATTGCAGGGCAGCACGACTTAAGACAGTTTTTCGTCTTTATCACATGCTTCCAAGTAGGTAACATTCCAGACAGCAATCCATTAACTTGAATTTGTAAGCAAAAACTTTAAAAAATTCCAGTAAATTCAGAACTTGGGCAAAGCTTGACTTATTCCAGTTCTTAAAATTTTAAAAGCCCGGAATCATGTAGACACAGAAATGGTTTTCCTTTATTAAACAGTAAAAGGTTTTACCTTCAACTCTACACTCATTTTTATCATGACAAAACTATGGACAATGCTTAATATTGCCCACCACTCTTTTCCCATAGGAGGATACTGTAACAGAAGGATAAAGGAAAGAAAATGGGTTATAAAGAGTAAGAAATTTGGAACAAATTGTTACCATGAAGAGCATTACAATGTGCATTAAAATCCTCAATGCTGAACCGCAGCAGCATATTTCCTGTCTAATATATTTGGTAATCAAAAAACCTACTTGTTTAAAACTAGTCAAGGCTGCCTCATGTTTGTCAAGTTCCCAAAAGCATAAAAATGGAAGCTAACACTGACAGCTTAACAAATGCACCATTATTTGTTATGATGTTGCACCATTTCACAAAGTGTGCTTGATTACAACTTTCCCTGCATGCATCCACCAATTTCCTTGTTTTGTCAGGCCAAATTCAGATCAAAAGGAATTGATGCATGGCCAGAGCCGATGCCTCACATTATCCTGGTCTGTATTACTTCATGAAGCACCTGAGTTTAACCATGGTTCTAAATCTGTAGGGGTTTTGATCAATGAATTTTCCTGGGTTTTGATGTGGAAATTTCTCCCCAGGTACTTAGCCCACCTCAGATTAAGCACCGCTATACCATGTAATCTGGTATTTTCCCCCACACTGCCTTTCAACATAAAAGGTCCATGTAACTATCATAGCTAGGCCAGCCAGACTTACATTCTATTTACATTAGATATTACATCTATTTGCATTTAGATATTTACATTCTACTACACTTCATGAGAAAAAATTGGGTCACTTTACTTCATGATGAGTTGCTCACTTCTTCAGTCCAGCTGTCCACAAACCTTTCATTTTGCATGCCTAGTTCTGTGACTATATTCTCAAACTCAATGTAAGTACAAACTTTAGTATTAACTACCCCTCCCTCCACTTTGTATGGGAGAGTACAGAAAATCTGGCCACCAAAGAGCGTTATGGGCCACCTGATAATATCTGAGTGCCAGGCAAATATGAGGCAAAGGTGATTCTTGTAGAGGCAGTCGCTTAGTTTTAAAATTGTTATCACTTAGCTTCATAAAGAAAAGCCATAAGCAATGTCTCCTTCTTCCTCATCTTTATAGTACACAATATCACACTCCTCACA